CCCAGGGATTTTTGGGGATCAGCCCCAGGGATTTTTGGGGATCAGCCCCAGGGATTTTTGGGGATCAGCCCCAGGGATTTTTGGGGATCAGCCCCAGGGAGTTTTGGGGATCAGCCCCAGGGATTTTTGGGGATCAGCCCCAGGCCCTCACCATGAGCAGCTCCCGCTCCGCCGTGCGTTTCAGCGCCCGGTAACGCTTCTCATCAGCAGAGGAAAGTTCTCCAGTCTCATCCTTGAGCTGCTGCAGCTTCTGAAGCTCTGGCATGCTGAAAAAACAACCCAGGAATTTTGCTTTACAGCCCAACCAACTCTGTAGGATTGCAGTGCAAGTGATTTATAACTAAAACAAACCCATAAGCAAACAGCAGTGCCAGCACCCTCAGCTGTGCCCACCACAAACACCAACCCAGAGGTTTTTCCTCAGTGCCCACCTGTCCATGTTCCTGATCTGGTTGTGCAGGGCCAGGAAGGACACGGGGGAGTCGATGGCCTCGCGGCTCTTGGCACACAGACGAACCACCTTGAGGCCAGTCTGGTGGATCTTCTCTGTCAGCTGATCCACGGCGATGTTGCTGGGGGCACACACCAGCACAGGCCTGCCAAAATCAGCCAACAATCTCAATAAACTGCAATTTCTTTCCACCAGACTTGCAATAAAATATAAGTAGTAACACATCACTACAAACATGCTGGTATTTTGTGCAACGAGCCCAAGTCTCCCCAACAGTACAGTTCAATGACACAAATTATTTTTGTTTTTTAATCAAGGTGATTCTTTGCATGAATCAGGCTCACGCATAAGGGCTCAGAGAGCAGCTCTCACCCATTGCCCTGCCTGGCCAGGTGATACACGATGGTGGCTGATGTCACTGTTTTCCCAGTGCCAGGGGGACCCTGGATAAGGCTCAGAGGACGCTGCAGGACGGTCTTGACAGCATAAACCTAAAAAATAAAAAAGATTTATTGTTATTTAACATTCCCAGCACGGGCTTTAAGTTGTTTAACCTCTATTTCTAAATCCTTTCCGTCATCCTGGGCACAGAGGGGAGATGAGGTTACCTGAGAGTGGTTGAGATCAGGGAGTCCCTGGGCTGTGAAGCGTTTTGGCAGCTGGCATTTGATGATGACATCTTCCACCTCGTGGCCCAGCAGTTTGTGGTAAATGTACCCAGACACTGAGGTCTCGTCCACTGCAAACGTTTTCAGAGCACTCTGCATCCTGAAATGAAGGAAAAGCAGGAAAATGATTCCTAAAGATCAGGGTGAAGCACCCCCAGGGGTCCTACAGCAGGTATCAGACATTAATAGGAAAGAGAACAAGGGCCAACACTCATTAGCAGAATTAAAATCACAGAAACACAGAATTAAAATCACAGAAATTACACTCTGAGAACTCAGATTTTGCTTTTTCCCCCACGTGAACATTACAAGGTATTCCCAGAAAATGTGGACAGGAACAGCAGCTTTGGTGACCCAATCTGGGACAGTAATTTCAGGTGCAAGAACCTGTGACAGGAATTGAGGTGCAAGATTTAAAGAAAATTTGCAGCCATAATGAATAAAATAATAGGATCAGAGGAGATAATAGTAATAGGATCTATTACTAATAGGAAATTCTAATAATAGGATAAGAAGCCAACTCCTGTCTTAGCAAACACAGACTCGGCTGAAGCCTGTGGGCTCCACAGCCAAATTTTGATATTTTAACAGTTTCAAGCAATTTTAGGAAGCTCAACTATAAAACTGTTTTTCTTCTTCTGTTTCAATTATTATTAAACACAAGGTAAATTTCTCCTTTTGATGTGTTTGCAACAAACCCTTCAAAATGAGACCAAGTGGCCATTTTGTGCATTAATTCCATTTCTGAAGCAGGCACCAGGGGCTCACCTCACACTGGGATCTCTGGTGGCTGCTGCCAAACCAACACTGACTTTTTGGTTGGAAAACACTCAGTGAGGGCAAAGATCAGAGGTGAACAGCGAGTGCCTGCCCAGCTGTGAGGTGCTGCCTCCATACCTGTCAAAGGAAGTGGATTTCCACACAAAATCCACCTGGAAGTTGTGGGTGACCTCCACGGGAGCTCCCACGCTGCTCCTCAGCTCGATGGCGATCTCATCACCATAATCTGTAGAACCTCGTTAAGTAGTAATTTCGAGCAAAAATTTGAATTTTATTCTCCCCAATTTCGGTGATTTTCTCCAGCAGTTCCCTCCCCCACCCACCCCCAATTTTAAATTAGCAGAAATTACTTTTGGAGATAACGAATGGCTTGTTCCTGACTCCAGCTCTGGCAGCCCTGCTGAGGCTCCCAAGCAAAGGATACTGTCAGGAACTTTGATCACGTGCCCGATTCCTTTCCAGAGGGGGGCCAGGTCTCCCTTGTACCTCAGGCAGATCTCATCTCCCTGCATGAGGCGCATGTCTGCAAAGGAAAAGGGGAAAAAAGCTCTCAACAGGCACAAAACCCTCCCAGAGCCTCCCCAGGCCAGGCTCGGAGTGCTCTGAGCTCTGCTTTTATTCACAGGTACAAAAACCCTGACAAAGAGACAGCCCAGGTGTCCTCACCTGAATCAGTCTTTGGCAAAGTGAAATAAGCAATTCTCTTCTTGTTCAAGCCCAGGTCCCACCTGACTGTGATGTTATCTTGGGTCTGAGGGTAAGAAAAAGAGCAGCTTTTATTTTCCTGAAGAATTGTTTGCCAACCACCACAGTCCTGTGCTTCAGAGCAGTGCAGAAACGACAAAACTTTCTGTTCCAATGTCACAAAAACCTGTGCTGAGTTCACAGCACCTGCAGAGGTGAATTCTGTTCTGAGAGCTAACGATGAGAAACCAAGTCCTGCTCACCAGCTGTGGAATTCTGCCCCAGTTCAAACAGCCAGGAAATGTTTCCATGGGCTCTCAGAACTCCACTGCCCTGGCAGGGACCTGCAGCTGCTGAGGGGAACCAAGAGCTGCACTCTGGGACACAAGGTGGTGTTTGGGAAGGAAAACCTGAGCACAGCAAAGGTGCCGAGTTCCCAAGGGTTTCCTACAGCCCCTCACTGTGAGGGTTCTCCTCTCCTCTCCTCTCCCTGCTCTCACAGCCATCACTGCTGATATCCCAGTGCTGCCACACCACAGCAATTCCAACATTTATTTATTTATTGCACTCAGGGTTTTGTGCTGGGATTCCATGTCTGATCCCAGCACTGTCAGGAGTCCCTCAAAAGGAAAACCTCACACATTTACCTGAGATTCCTTGAGTTTCTTGTCATAATCTGCCTCAAGCTTGACCAGAGGACCGAATATATTTTGGTATTGATAAGCATCTTCATATCTAAGCAGGACATGCTGGGGTTCCTCATCAACACCAGGTTTTTCCAAGTCCTCGAGGGTTGCAGATGGATTTTCCTGGAAATAAAAGCAGAGATGTTTTGTTTCACAGTGTGAAGCATGAAAACTGACAGCAGGACGGGTAAAATTGTGTTTTACTGATACAGGGAGTGATATCAAGGTGGAATCACCCTTAAAGCTACACCAGGGCATTACAAATCGTATTAAACACAGTTTAATTTTAAAGGATGCACAAAAAATCTCTCAAAAACCCCATAATTGAATGAGCAACAATTCCCTGCACCACTTAAAGCAAAACTATTTGGAAGTCTTGATATGAGCAAGGAAAGTTGGTTTCCAGCTTGGTGAAGCTTTCAATTCCCTGAACGCTCTGAGTGCTGTGGCACTGCAGGATTTAAACCTTGGGGGATTTCTGCCTCCCAGAGCTCCTAGAACTCTTGTCCTCCCTTGAAAACAACCTCAGAAGTGGTGAAACAACCCCCCAAAAGGCCAGGCTGTACCTTCCAGAGCTCCTCCAGCTTGTTGATCTGCTGGGCCGTGATCTGGCGGGCGCGGAGCTGCTCCTGCTCCGAGGGGATCTTCACCAGCCACGAGAGGAAGCAGCGGTCCTGGATCAGGGGCTGCCACTGGGAGCTGTCCCAGTTGATGTCCTTCAGGCTGCTCTGGCTGGCACAGGGCTGCCTGCAGGACCAAACACAGCCAGCAGTTGTGACTTCACACCAGTCTGCCGTGGAGGGTGAAAGCTGGGCTGCTGTGCCCCTGAAACTGTGCAAAAACCAGGGAAAACCCAAGCAAAACAACCCCAGGCTGCTGGGAAAATCCATTTCTCAGTTCTTCTTTCAGTATTGTGAGAAGTGTTGCTTGGGTGTTTCCAGGACAATGCATTTGAAATATTAAATGTGACACCTTTGGAGGTGGTTATACTCCATGAGGACTGTGCACACACAGACCAGATAGAGAGCTTATTTCCCAAACAGAACTTCCTCCACAGAAATACAATTCCTACCAGCAACCACACAGTGACAGCACCAAATTAAAACACTCACAATTATAAATTTTTAGTTATGACTTAGCCTGTCAGAACAATTTCTCATTTATTGTGGCCTCAAATGACTCTGTGAGCTGAGAGAAAAACACCCTGAGTGAGAGTCACTGTTCCATGGCTCCAGAGTCACTTCCTGAACGGAGCTGTGCCTCTTCCAAAGCTCAAAACAGAGGGAAAAACACCTTCCTTCCATTAAGGAATGTAGAAAAAAATACTTTTCTACAGCACTAAGATGTTTGCTCAACACAACAGAACTCCCTTTGCTCATTATCCACCTGCACCCCTGAACTCTGTGCGACCACCTGAAGGAAAAAGGGTGGCAAATCAGAAAATGAACTGCATTTTGGGCCAAAACGCCAGCAAGGGCTGCTGTCTGTGAAAGCAGCAGAGGGCTGACCTGCAGAGCAGAACCACCACGGAGTCAGCCTTGGCTGGGATGAAGCCCAGCAGGAAGACGTTGCGGCAGCCGCAGTTGTAGCACTCCAGCACCGTCTCTCCCAGGGGCCCGTCCTTGTGCAGCGTCACCTCCTTGCACTTGGCTCTCACCAGGTGGTTCACGATGTGGCTGCAGGCAAACAGCAGGGTTACAGCTCAGATTACAGCTCTATTTATGGCACTTTCACACCACAAACACCTCTGTTGGCAATTAGTAACACTCTGATAAATCTATTTATTGTGGCACACATTGGGAGGATGTGGTGTGCAGGGAACATTGCTCAGTGCATGGGAGCTCTGAGAGTGAGAAGATGAAGAAATGGTACGAAGTTGTGTCTGGCTCTCTCCATCCATGCAGGGAACATTTCTCAGTGCATGGATGCTCTGACAGTGAAAAGATGAGGAAATGGGTACAGAGTGAAAAGAAGAAATGGGTACAAAGTTATCTCTGCCCCTTTCCATCCATCCATGCATGCAGGGAACATTGCTCAGTGCATGGGAGCTCTGAGAGTGCAAGAAGA